TATATATCTATGTTTTTATATATCTATGTTTTTATATATCTATGTTTTTATATATCTATGTTTTTATATATCTATGTTTTTATATATCTATGTTTTTATATATCTATGTTTTTATATATCTATGTTTTTATATATCTATGTTTTTATATATCTATGTTTTTATATATCTATGTTTTTATATATCTATGTTTTTATATATCTATGTTTTTATATATCTATGTTTTTATATATCTATGTTTTTATATATCTATGTTTTTATATATCTATGTTTTTATATATCTATGTTTTTATATATCTATGTTTTTATATATCTATGTTTTTATATATCTATGTTTTTATATATCTATGTTTTTATATATCTATGTTTTTATATATCTATGTTTTTATATATCTATGTTTTTATATATCTATGTTTTTATATATCTATGTTTTTATATATCTATGTTTTTATATATCTATGTTTTTATATATCTATGTTTTTATATATCTATGTTTTTATATATCTATGTTTTTATATATCTATGTTTTTATATATCTATGTTTTTATATATCTATGTTTTTATATATCTATGTTTTTATATATCTATGTTTTTATATATCTATGTTTTTATATATCTATGTTTTTATATATCTATGTTTTTATATATCTATGTTTTTATATATCTATGTTTTTATATATCTATGTTTTTATATATCTATGTTTTTATATATCTATGTTTTTATATATCTATGTTTTTATATATCTATGTTTTTATATATCTATGTTTTTATATATCTATGTTTTTATATATCTATGTTTTTATATATCTATGTTTTTATATATCTATGTTTTTATATATCTATGTTTTTATATATCTATGTTTTTATATATCTATGTTTTTATATATCTATGTTTTTATATATCTATGTTTTTATATATCTATGTTTTTATATATCTATGTTTTTATATATCTATGTTTTTATATATCTATGTTTTTATATATCTATGTTTTTATATATCTATGTTTTTATATATCTATGTTTTTATATATCTATGTTTTTATATATCTATGTTTTTATATATCTATGTTTTTATATATCTATATCTATATCTATCTATCAAGTAGCACTTTGGAAAACACAGTTGATTCACCAAAGCCAGAGAGGAGGATTTGTTCCCCCTGGAGACCAAAATAATTCTTTTCATCATGGCTGGATAATACATGAGCTACAACTACAGATTTCATAAAAGGGTAACAGAAAGAAGTCTCTAGAAAGAGCACAAACCCTTCCTAGTTTATGCTTGGAAAAAACAATGCACAACATCATATGAGATATGAAGCCCTGAAGACTGAGGAGATAATACTATGAAGGACTACATGGAAGAAGGGCTAAAAAAAAGACGCAAAATCTGCATGATGGGGACTGATTACAGCACAGGAAGGAAGGAAGGTAGAATTCTTATGAAGTTGCAAACATTTTTATTTTTCTTTTTGCTCATTCATCTAACAGTAACATGGCCAGTGGAGAGCGTAAGAAAAGTCAATATAAGCTAAAACCACCCGTAAGTTTCTAAACATCCCTCATGGACTGGGAAGAGACAGGCTGTTTTAACAACACACTACAATGTTTTCCTGCATAATTCCAG